AAAAAATAATTTTTAAAAAATCCACGTTTGGTTGGTCTTGAAAAAATAATTTTTAAAAAATCCACGTTTGGTTGGTCTTGAAAAAATAATTTTTAAAAAATCCACGTTTGATTGGTCTTGAAAAAATAATTTTTAAAAAATCCACGTTTGGTTGGTCTTGAAAAAATAATTTTTAAAAAATCCACGTTTGATTGGTCTTGAAAAAATAATTTTTAAAAAATCCACGTTTGATTGGTCTTGAAAAAATAATTTTTAAAAAATCCTCGTTTGATTGGTCCTTGAAAAAATAATTTTTAAAAAATCCACGTTTGATTGGCCCTTGAAAAAATAATTTTTAAAAAATCCTCGTTTGATTGGTCCTTGAAAAAATATTTTTTAAAAAATCCACGTTTGATTGGTCCTTGAAAAAATAATTTTTAAAAAATCCACGTTTGATTGGTCCTTTAAAAATCATTTTTAAAAAATCCACGTTTGATTGGTCCTTGAAAAAATAATTTTTAAAAAATCAACGTTTGATTGGTCCTTGAAAAAATAATTTTTGAAAGATCCACGCTTGACTGGTTTGAAAAATCCGCGGTTGTAAATCCTTTAAAAAATCTACTTTTGTAGTTCCTTAGAAAAATATTCTTTAAAACATCCACGTTTGTAGGTCTTTAAAAAAATCCACGTTTGTAGGTCCCTAAAAAAAAATATTCCTCAAGAAATCAGGGTCCTATTTTCCTTGAAATAATATATTTTAGAAATTTTACTATGTTTCATATTGACTTTAGGTCTAAAATTATTATTTCGATAAGTTACAAACGGATTGGCGAACCTAATATACCCTCCATACTATATACGGTGTAGGTTATAAAACGGGGGTTTTTATTTATGAAGATGATTTTACAGGTGAAAATACCCGATTTTAATTGCTTTAGAGGAACCAACACATTTTTTGAAGACTTAATGGCACAAACATCTAAGGAGACCAATCGTAGACTTTGACTCTAATCTCACAGATCTACAAGCTATAAGAAGTATACTAAACATTCCCTAAATTTAAAGAACGTAGAAAAAGTATGTGATACAAAAAAGTTACACCAAAAATCTGTTTAATAATATATTCTACAAAAATTTTCCTCTCACAAAGCAAATCCCTCCCCATCCCATACATTCAATTCAAATTTGCCAAAAGAGTGTAATCAATAAAACAAACTTTTCCCCCAAAGGGCATTACCTTAAGTGTCTCATTGGGTAGACCGACCAAGTTTCTTTTTTGTTTGGCTAAGCTCTAAATACTTTGAAATTAATGGATGAAATATTTTTTACCAACCCCCTCCACCAGCCAGGAAATGTAAAAAAAAGTTTTGTTGGTTTTCCACATCGCTTCAATTGCAATTTCCATATCAGAACATGTAAATCTTGTTGAAAACTTTTTGTTTTTTTTTTGCCCAAAACGCTTTTACATGATTTTTAATTTAGGCTAATAGGAAGTATTGGCAGCAACGTGTGCATGTGTGTTTGTGTCAAATTTTTCAACTTGTACAAACTGTGATTTTTTTTAAAAAACCAACAAAAAATTAAACATATCCGTCAGCCATGTCACTGATGTGCAGCCTTGTTGTATATATACACATGCATGTATATGTGCTGCTTTCGTTCCGTTTCCTTGTATCTGCTTGTTGGCTGTGTATCACACACGCATCCATCAAATGACAAGTGGTAGTAGCAGTACTACCACTGTGTCAGCTTCCAAGCCGTAAGCCCCTTCAGAACATACAAACCAATATGAGATTGTGATTGATGGTCTATAAATTAGTCATTTGAGTGTGTGTTGATGTATTGGTTTTGCGGTTTGATATATGGGCATGAGTGGCTTCGTGTGAGAGTGCGCGTGTGTGTGTGCACAAGCACGTAATAGACCTTGTCCTTGTCAAAAATGTTTAGACCCAAATCCACTTGACAGTTAAAACAAACAACCGTATATATACTGCTGCACAAATTTGCCAACACGAATTGATTTAAAGGGGAACAAGGACATTACTGCGGTCGCGGTTCAAGTGTTGTGGGGCAGAAAGGGTTATCAAATTAAAACTTCAAAGATGAGTTAGGGATGGAAACTTTATAGACATACTGGAAAAGGAGTATTTTATTGCGGAAGGGAAGTATTTAAGGAGAGATTTATAATAAATTCTTATGAAGTTAGGCCAAAAGAGTTTTATGTTCAACTGATGAGGAGTCGTTTTTACAGAGCTCAGAAAGTATTTTCACAAATGATGTATTTTAGGATTTAACTGAAGAGAAGTTCCTATTGAAGAGCTCAAAGCGGAATTATTTATTTATAAGCAGAAAGAGAGTCATGTTGATGAATTGAAATACGTTTTTTTATAGAATTCTCTTATAGACGAAGTTCTCTTTAAGGGCGAAATGAAAATACGGCTCTTAGGAAACCTTCATAAATTAGGAAAAAACTAAATGTCCTAAAAAATCTGAAGGTCAGGGTTTTCAGTAATCCAGAAAAGAAGGGATACAGCCTTAAAATTATGATTTGAAGAGAGGGAGAAATGTAGGGATGATCCACAAACGATTAGCTCAAAAAACAAGCAAGCTGGGAGAAATATTCTTTAAGAAATCCACGTTAAAAAATATTCTTTAAGAAATCCACGTTTCCTAAATCCTAAAAGTAATCGTGTCCTTTGAAAAAATATTCTTTAAGAAATCCACATTTGTAGGTCCTTCAAAATATATTCCTTCAAAAATTCATGTCCTTTAAAAAAAAACAATTCTTTATAGGTCCTTGAAAATATTATCCTTAAAAACTGCGTTTCCTTTGAAAAAATATTCTTTAAGAAATCCACGTTTGTAGATCATTTAAAATATATTCCTTGAAAGTAATCGTGTCCTTTGAAAAAATATTATTTAAGAAATCCACGTTTGTAGATCCTTTAAAATATATTCCTTAAAAGTAATCGTGTCCTCTGAAAAAATATTATTTAAGAACTCCACGTTTGTACATCCTTTAAAATAATCGTGTCCTTTGAAAAAATATTCCTTAAGAAATCCACGTTTGTAGATCCTTTAAAATATATCCCTTAAAAGTAATCGTGTCCTTTGAAAAAATTTTCTTTAAAAAATCAACGTTTGTCAGAGTCCTTGCAAAAATATTCCTGAAGAAATCTACGTCCTATTTTTCCTTAAAAATAATTTTTAAAAAATCCACACTTGATTGGTCCTTAAAAAAATAATTTTTAAAAAATCCACATTTGATTGGTCCTAAAAAATAATTTTTAAATTTAAAACATTTGTTTCGTCCTTAAAAAAAAATAATTTTTAAGAAAACCACATTTTTCAGAGTCCTTGCAAAAATATTCTTTAAAAAATCCACGTCCTATTTTTCCTTAAAAAATATTTTTTAAAAAATCCACGTCCTATTTTTCCTTAAAAAATATTTTTTAAAAAATCCACGTCCTATTTTTCCTTAAAAAATATTTTTTAAAAAATCCACGTCCTATTTTTCCTTAAAAAATATTTTTTAAAAAATCCACATTAGATTGGTCCTTAAAAAAATAATTTTTAAGAAAACCACGTTTGTCAGAGTCCTTGCAAAAATATTCTTTAAAAAATCCACGTCCTATTTTAACCAAAAAAATAATTTTTAAAAAATCCACATTTGATTGGTCCTTGAAAAAATAATTTTTAAAAAATCCACATTTGATTGGTCCTTAAAAAAATAATTTTTAAAAAATCCACGTTTGAATGGTCTTTGAAAAAATGATTTTTAAAAAATCCACGTTTGAATGGTCTTTGAAAAAATGATTTTTAAAAAATCCACGTTTGATTGGTCCTTGAAAAAAAATTTTTTTAAAAATCCACGTTTGATTAGTACTTGAAAAAATAATTTTTAAAAAATCCATGTTTGATTAGTACTTGAAAAAATAATTTTTAAAAAATGGACGTTTGATTGGTCCTTAAAAAAACAATTTTTAAAAAATCCACGTTTGATTAGTACTTGAAAAAATAATTTTTAAAAAATCCACGTTTGATTGGTACTTGAAAAAATAATTTTTAAAAAATTGACGTTTGATTGGTCTTTGAAAATACAAGTTTTTGAAAAATCACGTTTGATTGGTCCTTGAAAAAATAATTTTTAAAAAATCCAAGTTTGATTGGTCTTTAATTGATTCTTTAAAAACCCACGTTGGACTCTGACTTGGAAAAATATTTATTACAAAATCCACGTCCAGAATCGAGGAAATTATGAAAATTTTTTCAAAATGTATCAGCCTTTTTAGACGTTTTTCTAAAAACCTTCTATCAACACTAGACCCAAAGTATATATGGGATGTATCGATCCACTATTTCGGTTATGTCCCCACAAAAGTTCAAATTTTTAACAAAAAAAACCTTCTCAGAATCGAAGTATTTCGGACTTCGTTTCTCGTAATATTTGCCTCATGCTTAAGCTAGGCGAGAAACTGGATCATATTGGTCCATTTTTTGTTATACCTCTCCAAAAACTTATAACTAAATTAAAATTAATGCCCGACTTTGTACACCTCTATCTGTGCTCATATAAATAGCCAATATTTTGAAAACAAATTGAATATATTTTGAGCAGAGTCCACCATTAACAATAAAATTTGTGAGTCGCGATATAAGTATACTAAGTTCAAAATTTATGTACCGAGTATCCAAAGTATTAGTTTTTTATTTTTTATTTTTTTTTTTGCTATCTTCGAATTCGATCTAAGTCTGATGAAAAATTATGAACCAAAAAAGTTTTTAACCAAAAAACTTGCGACGTAACTTGCATAAATAAATCGTCTAGAGAGTCATTAGAACTGACCTCGATTGAAAGGATTTTTCTAAAAGTTGAATCATGCTAAAGAAAGGGCTTAAATAATAGATTCAGAAAAAAAATGATTTGCTTAAAAAATTATTTCCTAGGTCCCTTATAATACCCCTTTTAGCTTAATTTAATATTTATGTATATTGTTGGTGACCTTATTTAATTTACTTACGTCCTTATCGCCCAAACGTTCAACACGGCAATGCAGGAAACCCGTTTGGCCCACTGTCACGGTGACGTTGCGCGGCACATCAAAATCGAAATATGGCAGAAGATTTGTTGGTGACACTGTGGTTGTTTCCAGCGCTGTGTACGACGTTGAATATGTTGTCAAGGATTCTGCAAAGAAAGAAAAGATACAGACAAACATGAGTAATGGATCGAGAGTAGCGTAAAAGTAAACATGATTAAATGTGAGGTCTTAAAAAAACCTCTTCGCATTTATAGGGGCAGATAAGAAGAGAGTAGAACATGTAAAATGCTGAAAAGAAAATAACTCAAGCGAAGTCGGTCAGGCCAAAAGAACATTTATGTTGACATTATTCATGCGGCCCAGCGAACATATGTGGAAAATTATGTAAATGGCCAAACTTGAAGGCGCCACCATGACATTAAATTCCACCACTTTGGATTATATGGATGTTTGTTAAATGTTAACTCTTTTTTCTTCGCTCAGCCCATTACCATATATACATTTAAAGTCTTTCGTGGCTTTCAGTATTTCATCATCGCCGCTGATGCTTCTTATGATTGTGTGATGGAAGTTGTAAAAACCATTTTTTAATAACAAAAAACCCCGAGTAAATAATAAACAACTATAAAAGAGACATTGTTAATCTCATGAATGGCCGGCAATGTGATTTTCTTTATGCCTCGCAAAACTGTAAATACGAACAGAAGAAAACATACAAATAAATAATTTTTTTTCCTAATTTTCATTATCGCTCATTTTACCATCTTCGTTTTTCTCAACTTTTTATTATTTGCCTTCTTTAAGTATTTTTATCGCTTTTGTTGATCATAAAAAAACACAGAGGAAAAAACTCCAAGAACAGTATAAATGTTAAATTGTACAGGGTGAAATGAAAAAAAAACTGCCACCAATTTCAGACTGCTGTCATTTCTTAGCCACTCGTCCGACAGCTGTTAAAATTATTCCAGTGACAGGTCATTATATTGTTCATAAGCGTACAAAAGCATTTTGGTGAGAATTTTCCAAAAAAAAAAAACTTATTCGAGATTGAATTCAAGCGTGATAGTGTTATTTCTTTATATTTGGCTGAAAAACCACAAGTGGCTATCGTTAGAGCACTCTAGCATTTAAGTGTGAATAACTCCTTATTATCTCGTACCATCGCTCTTTACCGTGATACTGGTAGCCTAGCCCGACGTTAAGGAAGGGGACGGAAGAAAACAGCAACATCAGCAGAAATGGTTCGGAAAGTAAAGAAGCCACTTGATCGAAACCCGCGTCGCAGTGGCCGAAAAATAGCTCGTGAGCCGACATGTCGCAATATTCCATTCGGCAAATATTGAAAAATGAGCTCAAGTTAAAGCCATTGAAATTCCAAAAAGTGCAAGAACTTACACCGCAACAGAAAGAGAATAGCTCAAAAGAGCTAAAGAGTTGGTTCGCTTGGCCGAAAGTGGTGAACTGCCGAATTTGGTTTTCTCCGATGTTTTCTCCGATGAATGAAAATATTCGTTGTCCAGCAGTTTGTACACAAACAAAATGATCGTGTTTACTTGCCAAAGAGATCAGCTGAAAATGTGCACCTTCGGTTGGCCACCAGAACTCAAGCGCCGGCCATGGTGATGGTATGGGCCGCCATAACAGCCGATAAAATATTTTGGAGGGTTAAAGCCTTGGGCATTCCAACATGACTCAGCACCATCGCACTCAGCATGAGCCACCCAAAAATGGTTAAAAAATGAGGTTTCTTGCTTCATTTCCAGCGCACAATGGCCACCAAAATCTCCGGATACCAATCCGTTGGACTATTGTGTCTGGAGTATTTTGGAAAGCAAGGTTTTGACTAAAAAATACCAAAGTATCGATCATCGAAAGCAAGCGCTTCGCCGGGAATGGGCCAAAATACCCCAGAGCAATATTTGGACATGTGATGGTTTCATTGGTCGTTTGAAGACCATAATTCGTGCCAAAGGTGACCAATTCGAACAAATCTAAACTTATTCTAAAATTTGATGATATTTCCGACATTTTTTGTTTTCATTCAATAACATTAAAAAAAATGTAAAAATTATGACGTTTGACTTTGTTGCCGGTTTTTTTTTATCTCACCCTGTAGTAATAAGCAAGAGACGAAGTAGAAGCTGAAGAGAAAAAAATTATTTATGAATTCATACGAACAACTGAATTGATGGCAATAAAACTCGCCATGAACAAAACAAGTCTGGACAATGGGCGACAAATTATCGTAAAAGCGATTTCCATCATTTCTGTTCGAAATGAAAATAAGAACACATGCTGGCAAGGAGTCCATCATCATTAAAACGTTGATGATGGCAGCCGGGCTGGGTAAAAGTGGCGATGAGATGACTTATTACAATGACCACACACAATTAGTTCTTAAGGAAGGTAGTAAAGACTGCTGATTGGATGTCTTATTCCGGGACATGGAGAAAGGGTATTGTTAAACGATTTTTAAGGAGTTCTTCTTTTTAATGAGGTGAACTTGAGGAAGATGCAGGAAAACTTAATTTAAGGTAGTTCAAGGGGGAATTATTTCAATTTTGGGGGCGGGTGTGATATTATGTGAGCGACATGAAGATGCTGTTATTGACAGACGGAAAAATAGTCTTCATCCTTGTGATGCAGGTTTTACGAAGAAGGGAATTTATTTGAAAAGGCATTGAAGTTGCCTAAGGGATAGACCAAAGGAGCCTGTCATCAATCAGCCAGAAGGAAATATTTACAATTTATTAAAAGTGATAGGTTTTGATACCTAATCCAATGGGGTTCCATTTTTATTTTTTTTAATCAGAATGAAGTATTCTTTAGCGACTGTTAAAATAATTGTTTGTAGCCAGAATAAAGTACCTAGATATGAAAAGAGATATGATTTTCTCAGACTACTTATAATTTATTGGTTCCAGATGTATTATGACTTTTGGAAGTTCGTACTCTAAGGGTACAAAAAAAGGTACATAATTTTTATTGTGTCATCAATAAGTTTTAAAACTGGTAGGATTTTTGGGAAATTTTACTTGAAATGTAAAAAAAAAAATACAAAAAAAATATATCATCGTTACGAAATTTTGCATGGAAGTAGGGCTAGGGTCAGAATAGAAGCCTATCTGATCGCATAATATTTAGGGGTTGACATGGACCAAAAACAGAATTATTTCCTGATTTTGCAGTTGATTTACAGGTCCCAATCATAGACCAATCGACATTGAATTTAGCACGGGGCTAAAGTTTAGGGCTGGTCAGAAGCCCACCATTTTATTTGGTCCTCGGAAGATGTTTAGCGGTTAAAATAGACCATAACATTTATTTAAAAATAACGAAAATTTCCACTAAACCTTGAAATGTAATTTTTGATTGTTACATTGATGTTCATATCCAAGATATCGCGTATACAGGGTGAGATAAAAAACTGCAATACAATTAAACGCCATAATTTTTATATATATATTTTTTTAATTTTATTGAATGAAAGCAAAAAATGTCGGATATAGCATCAAATTTTAGAATAAGTTAAGATTTGTTCGAATTGGTCAACTTTGGCACGAATTATGGCATTTAAACGGTCAATGAAGCCGTCGCACGCTGCCCGAATGTTGCTCTGTGGTATTTTGGCCCATTCCCGGCGAAGCGCTTGCTTGAGGTGATCGACACTTTGGTATTTTTTAGTGTCAACCCTGCTTTACAAAATACGCCTGACACAAAAGTCCAACGGTTTGGTATCCGGAGATATTGGTGGCCACTGTGGGCTGAAAATGAAGCGAGCAACCTTATTTTGTAACCATTCTTGGGTGGCGCGTGCTGAGTGCGATGGTGGAATGTTCAATGTCTGCCGCCAAAATATTTGCGTACCCAAGACTTTAATACACCCTCCAGAAATTTTCGCGATAATATTCGGCATTTATTCTGATGCCACGGTCGATTAATACGACCGGAGAGCGACCATCGGCTGTTATGGTGGCCCACAGCATCACCATGGCCGGCGCTTGAGTTTTGACGGCCAACCGAAGGTGCACATTTTCATCTGACCTCTTCAGCAAGTAAACACGATAATTTTGTTTGTTTACAAACAGCTTGACAATGAATGTTTTCTCATCGGAGAAAACCAAATTCGGCAGTTCACCACTTTCGGCTAAGCGAAGCAACTCTTTAGCTCTTTTGAGGCTATTTGCTTTCTGTTGCGCTGTAAGTTCTTGCACTTTTTGGAATTTCAATGGCTGTACCCCGAGCTTATTTTTCAATATTTGCCGAATGGAATATTGCGATATATTCAGCTCACGATTCATTTTCGGCCACTGCGACCGCGGGTTTCGATCAAGTCGTTTCTTTACTTTTCGAATCATATCTGCTGATGTTGCTGTTTTCATCCGTTCATTTTCTTGACGTAGGTCTACACTGCCGATATCACGATAAGGAGCGATGGTACGAGACACAAAAGATTTATTCACATTTAAATGCTGGAGTGCTCTAACGATAGCCACTTGTGGTTTTCCAGCCAAATATAAAGAAATCACACCATCACGCTTGAATTCCATCACGAATAACTTTTTTCTGGAAAATTCTCACAAAATCCTTTTGTACGCTTGTAAACAAAATAATGAACTGTCACTGGAATAATTTTAACAGCTGTCAGACGAGTGGCTTAGAAATGACGGAAGTCTGAAGTGGGTGGCAGTTTTTTCATCTCACTCTGTAAAGCAACCTCCGATTTGAGTCGTATATGAAAATATATAGAAAATCTACTTATTTTCGATAAAAAGTTTTAACATTTTTGACATATCAATGTTCCCAAGCCAATTTAAATAAACCCAGGGTAGAAGAATACGGATATGCATCAACTATCTGCATTCTTCTACTCTGGTTTTATTTTAATTACGTTTCAAATAATTTTAAAAAAATGTTGCATAAATTTAAATCCAATTCTGAGATTAGCGGAACAATTAGTTGTTATAAAGGTCTTTCTCTTATGGGACAAGTTATATTATTTAATATATTTAATATTATATAATACCTTACTAATATTATAATGAATAATGTTCCAATTTACCCCAACTCAAAATAATCAGTATTGCATTTTACACTACCTTAATCTAAATAAACATATTAATTTAATTTCCACTCATATCTCATA